GGAATAATACACCATTACTTGTGTCCAGCTCCTCCTGCACCAACGGCTCGTCCAGATTATCCTGAACAGAGAAAAAACGTAATAATCCTATATTATAATAATAATAACAACAAAGATAATAATAGTGGCAATAACTTATAATGATAATAATAATAATGATAATAATAACAAATAATGATAACAATGATAATAATAATAATAATACTGTTGCGGCACTTAAAAATTATAAGGTAATAATCGTAATAAGGCAATTTCACTGTAGAGTGATGTTGTTGTATTCGTTTTTTGTGATAATTTTATCCAAGATGATTATACTATAGCTCTTGCAATGATCATCCCATAAAACTGTGCATATTTTTCACATTATAACATTTGGTATTATTTGATGAGATACTTATTAGTCCTAAACAGACTATAACGCTGTTCCAAAAGTAGATATTAGCCTAATTATTAATATTTATTAACTTCTAACTCATCTATTATTATACCATATTACTTCAATTGAAATAATAATCCTTCTATTAACTACAATTACCGCCACACCAATCTCATTGCCCGTTTTTACAGTCATTTAGAATTTAGTCGCATCATTATTCATATTATCTTATTTATATCACCACCAACACCACACTTTTCTCACGATTATTATCTTATGACTTTTAATTGTCGTAACACTAATATTATAAGAGATTATTACGTTTTACTTATAATTCTATTTTTACTAGCTAACAGTGAAGTATTTTGGAAACATCAAAGACTGAAACCTACAGTGCATTTGAGCACTAATCAATCAGCTAAGTTAAGACGTTTCGGTCCATTAAACTTCTCCTAGTCTATAAGGTACCATCACACCGAGATCCAAAAGTGGCAATTCTTGGGCGATATTCAACACATATCATGGACATCTTACAATAAAGATATCTTAAAAAGATTCAAGCCTTGCCAAGTGCATCTGTGGGGAGAAATGGTGCGCTGGGAATCCCTTCGAAACGAACGTCAGGATCGCTAGCAGCTGGACCACCAAGCAATGCAGCGCTGGTCCGAGCAACTGGAAAAACTGCCAAACGAATATGGACTAGAAGCTACAGCTAATCCAGTTATACTAAGTAAAAGCAAACCTCAGTTATGGGGGACGAAAAAACCCTCAAATCCAAACCTGGGTTGCTTCGAGAACTCTAATCAATGATTAAATTCAAAGTACATTTCAAATCAAAAAACCCTAAAATCAAGACCAAAATTCCTAAATTTTGATTTTTGGGCTTTTTGATTTGTCAATTTTTCTTTGGTTTAGGAAAAAAAACAAACTTGTGTACGAAGCGCATAAAGCCTTTCGGATCGTTTTGTGAAACCGGTTGTGAAAATTCTGCCATCTTTCAGGAAAATTGCACGTTGCGGTTTCACTCCCTCATGACCGTTGCCCTGACGAAGCACTTCACCCGTGTGCGAATCAATCACCCGTATTTTCTTATCTTTGCATGTTGTCACAAAGCGACTTCCTGAAAA